CAGGAATTAACGTTCATCGCCGAATTTCTGAATGGTTTTGACAAAAGCATGCCGAGAACGAATGGCAGGATAAATCTAGAAAAATTAGGCCAATATCTGCGTCGCGAAAATCTGCAAACACCGTTGACCTCGGAAGGAAGTGAATGGGCCGCTTTGCTCGAGACGAATGACTGCTTACGCAATTATGCGCATATAGTGAAGCAGGATTTTAATTTATCTTTATTACAGTCTCATACAAAATTAGTCACTGCTGTGGAAAATGTTTTCGCAGAAGCTTATCAGGGTTTAGTCGAGCATTTTACAATGGTTTCAATCTCTCTACCGTCTTTTACATCTCTCATATCCTCGCAGATTGTAACGAACAACGGAAATCTCTTATTAGCTATGAGTGATGCTGACAACAAAATTTTGAAACTTTTTAATATCGAATATTCATCTACAGAACCTGCATCTCTTGGTTCAAAGATGGTTGCGATAGATGTGAATCATAAGCAAGGTTGGTGGCATTGTATTGTACATAGTTATATTGAAAATGTCTTATCCGTTACAGGACATAAAAATAAATAATTTTTCTGTGTATGTGTGTTTAGGAGAAAGCACGGATACTGTGATAGTAGATTTGCAATTTTACTCACAAGATTATCTTAGTTTACTTATATTAAACAAACAGACTTATGCATCATCTCTCTTGCAAGTGCCATTGCAAAACATACCTACCCTGTATCAAGACAATACGGTAACTTTGGTTGATATCATTGGTGCAACATGGCCAAAACCGTTTCAGGGAATATCCGCGAGACGACTAGCAGTTAGCGGTCCTCGAAAAGTAGCTGCTATTTTAGCAGAAAATAATAGAAAGATCCGTTTACTCGAGACTGAAGCAGAACCCGATGAGGAAGAAGATGAGGAAGAGGAAGTTTTAGAAAATATGGATACACATATCCCCACAGAATAATAATACAAAAACGGTCTAAAATCGCCAGAAAAAATTTTTTCGTACATCATTATAATACTTATACTGCACGTAAGATATATATAAGATATATATACTATATTTTAAATTATTATTATGTTCATTTTTATATGCCCCCCCTTCACTTTCATTCGTAAAATATTGATTATTTTGATTTAAAATATATTCGAATTTCACTATCTACATAATATAATGCAAACATTTGTAGCGCAAATTTAGCAAGGAAAGAAATTAAATAAAATAATATACAGATAGTCCTCTTACAATTTTTGGTTATTTACTTCCAATCTTGATATTACAAACTTATTGTGAATATAGTATAGAATTATATTATCAGACATATCATACATTTCTACAATATATACATATTGTGAAAATAGATGTGAACTAAATATTATTTATACATTAATAGTACTGAGAAATCTGCTGTAAAACGATATATATACAAGACTAAAGAAAAGAGACACTTGCTCAAGTGCTCTGAAAGAAATTTTCCAATATAATTTCCCTGTTTTACAATTACATCTACGGCATTGCTTGTTCTTTCTGCATTTGTTTAAATACTTTAGGAAAATCAATGTCAACATCGGCATTATCGACTCCAACATTCCCGGCATCTGATGAAACACCGGGCGTATTATTCGGTATATATCGTGCTGGAGAATTATCTCTCGACTCTTCGAGATCTGTGAAAATAATTTAAAGATAATTGTACATTTCATAGGAAAATGTATTCTCTTCCGGTATATCAATATTCACAAAAAAAAAATTTACCAAAGAATTTTTCACTTCTCTTTTTCTTAACGGTAATAATTAAAAGTACAACAGCTATTGCAACCACCAATACCATAACAGCGGTCATTCCTCGTAACAGATTTGTCTAGACAAAATAAATGAAATTTACATATAATTCAGTATTTATATAAATTTTATTAAATTAAATATAATTCAGTTCTACTTTTATATGTTTTGTATCTTAAAGTACCTCAAAGTCATTTTCCCAAAGTTGCTGCCAATTGTTTTTTACTATTAATTCAACAGAATGAATCTGAAATTTAGATTCATCAACTAAGCCTTTTGAAATACATTTATAAAACCCAGATTCTGCTGTTGATACACCCTATAAACATTATAAATATGTTAAAAAAGAAAGAAAATCTAGAATATGTTGATAAAACATTTGAAAACTTACTCTTATCAGGAGTGTGCCAGTCAACACTTCATAATTATATTTTTTTTCATTTAAAGAATTTCCTGGACCAATGACATCGTTATTTCCAAATTGCCAGAGCATAAAACGATGATGTTCGTCAATGCTTAAGCATGGAAGCTCAGCCAAATGTCCAGCTGTCACTTCTTTCACTGTTATCACATCACTTGCAGTTTCAGATTTTCGTAATATGAATGATGAATAAAAAAGTATAAAAAACCACATTGTCACCTAGAAATCAATGTTAAAGAAAAATTTATATAGATATAAATTTCTATAAAAAGAAAGTCGTTTATTCTATTTGTTATACACAAAATAATAATCAAGAATATATCTCTCCCTAATGGCCATTTAATGCATACATACTTTTTTTATTTCAAGATTTAATTATAGAGAGAGAGACAGAGAATATATATATATATATTCTTATATATTAAATTATATATATGCAAAGAAAAATGTACACAAGCAAAGATGTGAAATTTATAGAAATATATTCAATTGCTGTATCTTGTCACGACCAATATTAGTAGACTGTCAGATGTTACTGTTCTGTCTCTTTCTCATTTATTCCATAATTACATTCTAATTACATTGAACATTTTTTTCCCCTACAGCTGCTAATACCGTGAAACCAGTTTATTCTTCACAGATGTTTGTCACAATGATCATTCAATACACAATGCACGGGGCAAAAGGCTGTCTTTTCCTAACGAACTTAACGATGTTGCATAATCATAAAAGCAATTCTTGTGCGTAGTTGCTTACTGCCTTTTATTTTTTTCTATATAAACAAACTAGCTATAGCATTAGCATAAACTTGTAATTTTAAACTAAAAACTAATTTTAAACATCTTTAAGTTACTGATGAGAGGATTGGTGGGACAAACGCTGCCATAGACTTGCTTATTTTTAACTCTGTCCTATTTGGCCTTGTGCAATACCAAGTATTTATAGTAGACTAGACTTATAACTTGTGACTTATATCTTATGCATTGTTTTCAGATCGTGTTGTAAAGAATAATCTATTGATTTTTTTTACAGGAAAAAATTTATAATACAAAATATTTAATTTAATAGATATATAATATATTTGTATATTTTTATATAATCAATATAAATTAATATGTATGTATGTGTGACAACACCCAATACTTTATTATCCACTGGATAATATCCAGTAAGAATGTTGGAATAAAAACTAACAATAAGCCATTTATAAAGCAACAAGCATATATGGAATTGTATATTTGATTTTATACAGCAAGTAATGATAATATCAATAAAATAATATTTTATTAACATAACTATACATACAAGCTCTTAAATAACTTGAAGCAAGCTGAGATTTATCCATAGTCAATATCTAGATTGATGTATCAAATGGATAAAGACATCAATTGCTAATGTTGGAAGGAGCAGCCAAAAGGGTGCCAATACCACTTTAGCTGGTAGTAACCAATGAGGTGCCTCTAATTTCAAACAAATCAGGATCTGAGCACATAGCTTCAGGAGCACAGCTGTCATATACCATGCCTGAAACAATAACATTATTTACGTTACTGAAACATGATTATTTTTCTTTTTTAGAGATAAAACTATAAATTTATTAAATTTTTTTTTGTTTTTTGTTTTTGTAATGTTATCGCACTCTATATTTCTGTAAAGCAATTCAATATTTTTATAAACTGTATATATGTAAAAACAAATGATATAGAGAGTGTGTTTTGACTGTGCAAAAGAAAGCTTACATCTTGTTAAACTGCGACTTGAAAATTGATAAATACTTGCCTCTTTATGCAAACTACTGACACGTCCGTTCTTGCAGTGTGAGATCATGTTAAAAACGATGTAAATAAGAAGAATGTTGTCGTAGAGCCACATTGGAATGAAAACTATGAACCAGTTCCATTGTATTCTCTGGTCGAGTCTCAGGACGAGCAGGACCAAGAATATGAGCAAATTGAACCACGTGAACAAGGCGCGATGCAAAACCGCCATGGAAGACAATTAATAATGTACAACTCCGAAAAGATTATGCATTTGTGCATAATTGATATTTGACAGTCTTAACCTTTTATAGCCAACAGCATAATCAAAACATATCTATATATATATATATATAATAAACTACGTTATTTCCAATCACTCTACTTTATCGATATTGTTTTACATTGGTCTTTATGATGTTTTAGAAAACCGTAAGATGACACTGCGAGTCCGATAATTGTGCGAAACCTAAAACCGTGTATGTCCAAATCTCTAGAAAAAAAGAGAAAATTAAATAACGCCATTAAAATATTGTTTCTATATATATTCTTTCTTGATTTATACTTTTTACATTTAGAGTAAAAAAAATATATATTGACGCTTCGGAGAGAAAGGGAAGGGATAAAGCAGTATGAAAATGAAAAGTAATACATACATAATTAGGAAAACATGAGAATAAGATTATTATATATTGTAGAATTCAATAGCACTTTAGTCTTTCGTTAGTGATGTTATATTTGGTGTTCATTTTTTACAAGATGTGTTATATAATACTGTAGCAATTAATAAATAAACTTCAAGTAAGATATTTGGCGCTGAAAGAATAGAACGTAAAAATTTTGTAATACTGCTCAGTTTTTCGTTATTTAGCGATTATTTCAGCGATGACCTATTACGTATTTCGCGTGTCATTACGATAAAGATTCTTGATATGAACACTCGGTACATTAATAATTATAAATGATCCTTGAGAATGTTGTTAGAGAAAAGAATAGCAGCGAAGGCGCCATTTACCGATGGCCAATGAAATCTCGCGTACGAGGATACGTCATCGTGAAATTATCATGCGACAGTCGCGTATGTTGCAGACACCATACACCGTGGCCAGAGCCCTCGGAAAAAAATAAAAGGGATAACGAAGAAAAAAAGACACCAATATAAGAACAAAATAAAGGAAGAATAAAAGAAAGAAGAGAAGGTAGAGAATAAAGAAAATAGAATTTGTTTTTCGCATTAATATATTGTTCCTACAATTTTCCTTGCAGTTTTAACATATTATCATATGTTGTTTTTTAATATAGTTAATTTGACATTTTAAGATCATATACGTACATAGAGCTGTATAAAACTATTTCTGCGAGATAAGAGATAAGATAATTCGAGATAGACGTTGCATCTAAAAATCTTTTTTTTTTTTTTTTCGTGCATCAAGATTCTGTCAATAAATGTCTATATATGAAATTATAACTATAAAGAATAAAAAACATCGCGATAGATTTTTGCATCTCTTAAAAACTTAATTCACATTCTAATAATCGCTCACTATTAAAATTTTCAGATAGTTATTAAAAATTAAGCAACAAATTGTTTTAAAACGAGATCGATATTGAATATTCTACATATATATATTTTACATTTATAGATTATATATTAATCATAAGATATATCAGTATTAAATCTTAATGTAATGAAGAATATTTAAAATAAGGTACATATATATATATTTTACATTTATAGATTATATATTAATCATAAGATATATCAGTATTAAATCTTAATGTAATGAAGAATATTTAAAATAAGGTACATATATATATTTTACATTTATAGATTATATATTAATCATAAGATATATCAGTATTAAATCTTAATGTAATGAAGAATATTTAAAATAAGGTACATATATATATGCATCGAACATGACATTTAATAAAATTAATGATATATGTTGCCGCGGAGTAAAAATGAAGTCTTGCTTCAATCCGTTAATAAGATACAAAAAAAGTTGAATACGTGTATAATAAATATGCTAATCGAGATTGCTCTTTTATCTTTGCCAATACCAAACCAAGAGTCGTACTTTCTATATGACATTATGTTAATTAAAATAATACCGAACTCTCTGTTATTTTCGTACTATTGAGTTTGTTATTTATTCATATGAAAAATTATGTGTCAAGGCAAAATAAGCATACAATCGGATTGTGAAGGGAGAAAGAAATAAAATGAAGCACAAGAAGCGCAACTGATATGTAAACGCTAGCAGACCAAATTCCTACGTTCCTTCGCTGACCGCGCAAAAGTGCGAAAGATATGCACTGATATACGATACGACCTGCTGGCCTGATCCACGACAGACAGGTCGATGACAAAAAGACACGTTCTTTAACGCAATATATAATGTTTCTTGTGATGCGACTATAAATACACCCGCCTAATGGTCCTATTCCGAAAACGCGAGAAGCCGAGTCTATTTTAACGGATTGGAGTGGGTCCGCGTGTCCCGTTGACCCTATGGCCGCCTAAACCAGTCTTAGACGGCGAGAGTAGCATCGAGCATTGGCTACTTATTCGCGAATAGCTCCAGGTTCTCCGATCTCGCGAGATCGTATCACCGCTGGAATTTTGCAATTCACGGCGTCGTCCGCGTTTTCTTTAACCTCTCTTTCTCTCGCGTGCGCGTTTCGGGTCCACGTGGGTCGCCGGGTCGACCGCGATGCAAAACGTACGAGCATTGGTAAGTGGCCAATTTCGATCGAAACCGAAGAATTGCTTGCGATCTCGCGAACATCCCAAAGACATCGAACGATATCTTTCGAATGATATTTGTACTTTGGTCTTTGGCGTCATATTCTTTTGATATTCTTTTTATGATAATAATTTGCTAGAAAAATTCGGATTTATAGCGATATATTTGATGTATAAAAAGAGACGATTTATATATCTCGATTTGTAAATATTATTCTGTGAGAATTTGATAATTTGTATTAATATTAATTTGTAAAAAATATGTAAAATATTCGCGTTCATTCATGTCCCTGAAACATTAATCTAAAAATTTTCGACAGAGTTTTTGTGTATCTAAAATTTAGGGTAATATTTAAAATAGACAAATTTATATTGTAAAAATTAAATTCTACAAATCAAAATTGTAAAAACATCATATGTGTATTCTAATAAAGTTTTATATTTCCAGGTGCTCCCCGTCTTGGCTGCGGTGGGAACAATAGTTGTTATAGGAGTCGCGTTTAAAATATACAAATCTTGGAATGAGAAAAGGAAAAAGTCTCCAATACTGCTGGTTGATCCACTAGTCAAGTATAGTTTACCTTTAATTCAAAAAGACATAATAAGTCATGATACAAGAAGATTTAGATTCGGATTACCAACACCGGATCATATTCTGGGTCTACCTATTGGTCAACACATACATTTAACTGCAAAAATCGGAGAAGAGGTTGTAATACGGTCGTATACACCTGTTTCAAGTGATGATGATCATGGTTATGTGGATCTCGTCATCAAGGTAAATAAATGAATTTATTAAATTAATTATAGTATAAGAAAATAATAATAAGATGTATTTTTTTAATCATACATGTTTTTCAGGTGTATTTTAAGAATGTGCATCCAAAATTTCCAGAGGGGGGAAAATTGTCTCAATATTTGGAGAACATGGAAATAGGAGACACCATTGACTTTAGAGGTCCATCTGGTAGATTGGTTTACAAAGGAAATGGAAAGATCTCTATAAAAATTTATAGGAAAGAACCACCTATGGAATATAATGTTAAAAAGGCAAATACATATATTAAATACGATTATTGTTATATAAACTTGTGTTTTTGTTATTATTATTAAGAGTAACTCTATATATTTCTTAAAGGAATATAAAAAAATCTACATATTTCTCTTTATATAGATTGTCATGCTCGCTGGTGGTACAGGCATTACACCAATGTTGCAGTTAATCCGTGCGATAATAAAGGATCCCACAGACGAAACTCAAACTTCCTTGCTGTTCGCCAATCAGACTGAGAAAGATATCTTGCTACGAGACGAACTAGACGATATTGCCGAAAAACACCCAAATAAATTAAAACTTTGGTACACACTAGATACAAGTAGCGAGGGATGGTTTTACAGCCGGAGTAAAAATGAAGTCTTGCTTCAATCCGTTAATAAGATACAAAAAAAGTTGAATACGTGTATAATAAATATGCTAATCGAGATTGCTCTTTTATCTTTGCCAATACCAAACCAAGAGTCGTACTTTCTATATGACATTATGTTAATTAAAATAATACCGAACTCTCTGTTATTTTCGTACTATTGAGTTTGTTATTTATTCATATGAAAAATTATGTGTCAAGGCAAAATAAGCATACAATCGGATTGTGAAGGGAGAAAGAAATAAAATGAAGCACAAGAAGCGCAACTGATATGTAAACGCTAGCAGACCAAATTCCTACGTTCCTTCGCTGACCGCGCAAAAGTGCGAAAGATATGCACTGATATACGATACGACCTGCTGGCCTGATCCACGACAGACAGGTCGATGACAAAAAGACACGTTCTTTAACGCAATATATAATGTTTCTTGTGATGCGACTATAAATACACCCGCCTAATGGTCCTATTCCGAAAACGCGAGAAGCCGAGTCTATTTTAACGGATTGGAGTGGGTCCGCGTGTCCCGTTGACCCTATGGCCGCCTAAACCAGTCTTAGACGGCGAGAGTAGCATCGAGCATTGGCTACTTATTCGCGAATAGCTCCAGGTTCTCCGATCTCGCGAGATCGTATCACCGCTGGAATTTTGCAATTCACGGCGTCGTCCGCGTTTTCTTTAACCTCTCTTTCTCTCGCGTGCGCGTTTCGGGTCCACGTGGGTCGCCGGGTCGACCGCGATGCAAAACGTACGAGCATTGGTAAGTGGCCAATTTCGATCGAAACCGAAGAATTGCTTGCGATCTCGCGAACATCCCAAAGACATCGAACGATATCTTTCGAATGATATTTGTACTTTGGTCTTTGGCGTCATATTCTTTTGATATTCTTTTTATGATAATAATTTGCTAGAAAAATTCGGATTTATAGCGATATATTTGATGTATAAAAAGAGACGATTTATATATCTCGATTTGTAAATATTATTCTGTGAGAATTTGATAATTTGTATTAATATTAATTTGTAAAAAATATGTAAAATATTCGCGTTCATTCATGTCCCTGAAACATTAATCTAAAAATTTTCGACAGAGTTTTTGTGTATCTAAAATTTAGGGTAATATTTAAAATAGACAAATTTATATTGTAAAAATTAAATTCTACAAATCAAAATTGTAAAAACATCATATGTGTATTCTAATAAAGTTTTATATTTCCAGGTGCTCCCCGTCTTGGCTGCGGTGGGAACAATAGTTGTTATAGGAGTCGCGTTTAAAATATACAAATCTTGGAATGAGAAAAGGAAAAAGTCTCCAATACTGCTGGTT